GTTACATTCTGAACCAAACTATCAGAGTAATTTTGATCTGGTGTAATAACTAATATTTTTTTTCTGTCACAATTTTGCAAGCAGTTACAAATAATGGTAAGCTACTGATTCACAGACTCACAGTAAAAAATTTAACATTTGATTATAACATGATAAGACAGGTGGCCGTAAATTGGTGTGTGACTCCTGTTACTGCAAAGTGACATGAAGTAACTCCAACGTAACTACTTTTGAATTTCTTCGGGAACCATAGGAAGGAGAAACATACAATGTCTATCAAGTAACAGCTGATATGTTAGGCATACTACCAACACAAAGAAATTTTATATTTTGGATTACAACAGTAAGGATTGCTACATAATACACATGACTCATGTCATGACTCATGTTACATGACTCATGTTACATATCAAGTACAACTTTATATTTCAGTTCAGAATTGTTTGCAATAGCTTCTGAAAATTCTTGACAACTTTCCCCCCCCCCCCCCAAAAAAATGTCATCACTACCATGGAATTACCCATGTACAGTAGTAGCCAATTTGGCTTCCTATTATTGAATATTATTTTATTTTATTAGCTTCGCCGCAAGGGCAGGGTCACCACAACAGCATATGCCAATTACTATGGGCCTGTATTACCTAACCCACCCTGTCCACTTCCCCTGTGGGGGAAGATGTTGACTTAAATCTTTTCAAACGAGGACTGGGTTCAAGTCACATCCAGTAGCCCCTACTGAGAATCAAACCACAACCTTAGAGGTTAAAAGGCAAGTGGTTTAACCACTTTGCCACCAAAGCTCCTACTAAACAATTTTGAGCACTTATAGATTCCATTGCATACGAAAAAATCTGCTCTGCACTTACAAACAAAAGGCTGAAGAAGGGCATAATGAAAGCATCTCCTATAGAGCAGACAAGTTGCTTGGAGGGATTTCATTCTGTTTTAAACCAATTCTCCCCCAAGATGATTGGTTATAGTTACAAAGGAATGTTTTGCAGGTACAGTACATAAACATTGTGTATACCATGTGTTCGCTCTCAGTTTCATATGCTACAGTATAAATGTGTAGAAGTAAAACATGAATCGTACGTGTACAACTACTGCAGAAATTACCATCAAGTGATGGCAAACATTGTTCTCTTTCAGGCATGTTATTGCAGTAATCCATTTCAATAAAAATCTTTCTCGAGAAAAATGCAAATCATTAGGACAGGTCAGCCACGTGCCCTCCTTGCGTTTCTGCGATTATTGTCAAGGTAGAAATACAGTCTGTTTTCGACGAGTTGTGCTGGTAGTATGCAGTGACTGTGAAAGTGGAAACAAAAGCGCTTTCGAAACGCTTCAAGAGAAATTAGAATCAGGCACGATAGACCCTGAATTAGCTGTTTTGTCTATTCTACCTGATTGCCCGCATGTTGGTAAAAGTATTAAAGCAGCCTTTGCCAACTGGTGGCTCAAATGCAAGAGCGAACGTGTCAACTTGGCATTGATAAGAACATTGCGAAATCGTTCAAATCAAGAAACAAAGAACATCTTCCGAAAGCTTATCCCCAAGAACGATCACGTTAAGAACAAAGATAGACAAGATCCATCCTCAGTCCTTACCCTAAGCAGCACAAAACTGACAGATGAGCTGAAAGTTTGTGGATATGTCTGTCATACAATTATCCCAGAGCTCGATAAGTACTCCCCAGAGAACCAACGGGGAATGTATCCATCGCCGATCAGCGTTGCCATCCCATCTTTTGGATCGATAGCTTTTTTATCCTTTGACTCCAAGACTTCCTTGTCAACGCTATACAAGGCCCGATTGCATAGTCCTGTCGACAACATCAAAGCAATTGGAAGGAATCTGACAGCTAGAGCTATTCACTGTGGTGATGGAATCATCTTTCTTAGTTCGGAGAGTGGGCCTATTAAAGTAATTCAATTTACAGAGGGAGCAATCGATATTTTGTCTAAAGCGAAGAGAAAAGGTGATTTGATTAAAGTTGCCCGTCAACTGAAGCTGTCAACAGAGGGTACTGTTCAAGAACTAAAGAACAGGTTGCAACATTATCATACTTCACTTAAAGCCAAGTACGAACAGAAGAACATTCAGCTTGATGAAGTTCATTTCTGGAATTCTCAGACACAACCATCCTTTGAATCTATGTTCTGCCTTGACGAAGATGTGATTTATGCTGCAAGAAATGACACCAAAGTGATCGCTTCTTTTCAAGTAGAAAAAGATGGCGTTGGTCTACGAGGCGTAAACTTGCAAGAATTCATGAAGTACGGCAATTTATGGAGAAAGATTTACAGCATGTGTCTGTGTGAGGGAAATATCTTCTTGTCGCATTGCGAGGGTATAAGCAAAGTGTCCCTGGA